GCCTCTCCCATTGCAGAGCACAGGCTCTGGACGCGCAGGCTCAGCAGCCATGGCTCACGGGCCCAGCCGCTCCACAGCATGTGGGATCTTCCCGGACCGGGGCACGTACCCGCGTCCCCTGCATCGGCAGCGGGACTCTCAACCACTGCACCACCAGGGAAGCCCCACAGGCTCTTGCCAAAGTGTTTAATCCAAGTCCAATTGTGAGGAAACAATCAGAAAAGCCCTGAATGTGGGACTTTCTACAAGACAACTGGCTGGGATTCTTTAAAAACAATTTAATATCCTGAAAGAAAAAAGGCAGCAAGACTAGTGTAGATTAAAGGAAACCAAAGTGATGTAACCTCGTGCCTAAACCTTCATTGGATCCTGTACAAAAAAGGAAAAACAACTGCAGAATAATAGATTATCTTTATTCTTGGGACGTAAGTGCTGGTGCGTTTAGGGGTGAGATGTCCCAATGTCTGGAACCTACTTTCAAATGGTTAAGCGACAAAAATGTAAGTAAATATATGTGTGTGTCGATGTACATATACATACCGAGAGAGAGGGAGAGAGAGCAAGCAAAAATGGTAAAATAGTCACCAAAGTTGAGTCAAAGAAAAAGGTACTATACTTTCAACTTTTCTGTGGATTTGAAAGAAATTTTTAATAAAAGGCTGTGGGAGAAAAATCCACTTACCCTGAAGGATGAAGTCGTCTCCTTGATCCAGCATCCAAGGCCACCTTCTGCCTGGATCTCCCAAGTTACACTCACGTTATAAGTGATATAAGGGCTGGATTGTGTCTTATCAGCCCTGCTTTCTCAGTTTTAGCACCATGCCAAGCTTCTCCCCTCTACTCATCTGTAGGAATCCCTTTTAGATCAGATCAATCTACTTAGTCTCACAACTTAGCTTGTATAGATCTGGCGGTGAACATTGCTCGTTCTTTCTACTCAAATGAAAATACCCTCCTCCCCTTCAATCCCATGCTCCCTTGAGTATAAACATGACCATCTAGGCTAACACGTGATATTTCCCCACATATTCCTGTGTGCAAACATGTTCAAATATCATCTTCATAAGAGAAAAACAAGGATCATAGCTTTTGATTCTTAGAGAACCCACCCTACCTAGAAAATAACATGTCTTCAATAAAGAAGTATAGATTGCTTGATCACATCCTTTCATTGCATTTATGTATGAGTTGATCATTATTTTGATATCAAAGCTCCAGAAAAAAAGGGGAGAAATTTAGTAAATTAACTAATTTTCTCTATGGAATGCCAAAGAAAAAAATCATTTAAAAACTTATTTTTAGGGCTTCTCTGGTGGCGCAGTGGTTGAGAGTCCGCCTGCCGATGCAGGGGGCACGGGTTCGTGCCCCGGTCCGCGAAGATCCCACGTGCCGCGGAGCGGCTGGGCCCGTGAGCCATGGCCGCTGAGCCTGCGCGTCCGGAGCCTGTGCTCCGCAGCGGGAGAGGCCACAACAGTGAGAGGCCCGCGTACCTCCAAAAAAAAAAAAAAACTTATTTTTAAGATCAAGTGGGTTTGGATTAAATGTTTCCTTTTTTTTCCGTGGACATTGGTTATTACACAGGCTGCAGTAGGCTTGGATGACTAGGGGAAGTTACCTATCTGATCACTTATTCACAATATCCCCTTGTCTCATTCTATGGCACTAACCTCCTTCTATGTTTAATTTAGACACTGCTGTCGATGATCTTTTCTGCCCTTGGAATTGCTTTCTCTGGATACTGCCTGGTCATATCTGCTTTGGGCCTTCTTCAGGGCCCTTACTGCCGCACCCTTGATGGCTGGGAGTACGCCTTTGAAGGCACTGCAGGACGGTAAGGAGTAATTCCCTGATTTGGGAGGAGGTCTGAAAGTCAGAAACACCTGGCTTCATGCCCATACTCATTTTCAACGATCACTTAGTGGTTCTGTTTCTACCTTAGTCCAAAATGTTCCTAATAGTTTACTAATGTCCAGACCGATTTGTTCCTACACTGAACTCTGTTTAGATCTTTTTTTTCTCCAGTCTTTTAATGTCACATGCATTCACTATGTTAAGGCTGTCGTGGACATTTCCGAATGAAAGGCATGTTTCTGCCATACTGCAGAACAGGGCTTCGTCGTTATTGGGGTCTGGTAATTGCTGGAGCTTGGGGCTTGGGTGGCTCTGGGAAGTCAATCTTGTTTTGTGGTCAGGTTGGACATGGAGTCTGTTACAGATGTGAAAGGGCTTGGCTGGGAGAGAATCACAGTGCCGTTGGATGGTGCCATCCGGAGCTATACCATTAGGGGCCACACGGAGGTAGAACCAGGCAAGGTGGGCAGCCAAGTGAGATCCAGGGACGTGAGTAGGTGCAGGAGTTTGTGGAAGGAGCCAAGAGCTTATGGAGCATGTACTGAACAAGAGTCCTAGGGGTAGCCTTGCTCCGAAGGCTGGTAGTTCAGTCAAGCGTTGAGGGACCCAGTCCTGGATCACAGAATGCCTCACACTGGCATTGTGCTGGCTCATGGCCCTACCAGCTCGGGAGGGAGCAGGGCCCAGACAGAGATACAAGAAGATCTACTCAATCTCTCCCTGCCTTGTACTGAACAGACAATTCCGATGGAATAAAATGAGGCAGTGTGGGTACCATTCCCTGGGGAAGTTACACTTTCTTCTCGACTCCCCATGGCTGGCTCTGTTGTTCAAAGCCCACATCCATTTGCGGTTTTACCTGCTCACCTCAGCCTGCACAGCACAACTGCTTCTGTGCCCATAGCTGCCTTTATTCTAAAGTGTCCACGAGGTACCCCATGCTGTGAGCAGAGCTCTCCCTCAGGTCAGGAGAACCTAGAAAATTACTTCAGGTCTTTCTGAACACTTGGAGGAGACACTCCTTTGGGATTGAAAGGGCTCAGGAAAGGGGACCCTAATGTAGAAAGTCCCACTGGGTACAAAGAGTCGTTCTTTATGCCACCAGCCCCTGAACTTTTCCCCACCCCAAAAACAAGTAAGTCTCCAATTTCAATGCAGGAATCTCAGGCTGCCCACATGCCTCTTCATTCCTCCTTTAAAGTTGCCCTTGATATTTGTATTCAACTGATTCCAGCTCTATAAAAGTGTTTAGAGGTGAAAAATTGGAGGCCATGAAGGGAAGCTAAGTTTCTGGGCCCTTAAAGAAGTTTCCAAGGCTTGGTGAATGCAAGGTGGAACAGCTGTTAATGTTGAACAAATCAGCTGAAAACTGCCCAGATCACCTCTTCATATGTACAGTTATTCAACAAATATTTATTAAGCACCTACTATGTCCCTGCCTTGGATTAGGTGCTAGGCAATCAAAGATAAATTACACAGGTTCACTTCCCTCTAGAAACTCACACAGATTTGACAGAACGTTCTGCTGAGATGGAAGCCTTAGAATGAACATTGCCCTTAGAGCACAGAGCTTCAGTGCTTGTAGATCTGGGTTGAAGTCTCCCGTCTCCTACTTACAAATTGTATGGCCTTAGACAAATATCTGGATATCTCTGAGCCTCTGTAAACTGGAGATAATAATCATTCCTACCTCACAGAACTGAAAATTAAAGAGAAGTAAAGCACAGCTTAGATTTAATAAATTCTCGACATGCCAGATTTTATTATTAAAATCATCACTTTGCATAACCTTCTATACCACATGATGGTCTTCCATCTGCCAAGTGGACAGCAAGTTCAGCCATTAAGTTCAGCCACTGACACGGTGACCAGCAAGGATCCTGAATCAGTTTCATTCAACAAGCATTTGTTGATCTTTGCAATGCCCCAGGCACTGCCTTAGGCCTTAGGCATGGCCATTTAGAGATGCATAAATCACAACAGTGTTCTCACAGTACACTGTGTAGTGAGGAACTAGATATACAGGTATAGCTATAGATAGAATCGTAACATAACAAAGTACATGTGTTGTTAGAACGGTGTATAGAAATTGTGGAGAGAACGAGTATCAGGACAAATTTCTCTATTCCTTCCAGACCCTGATAGCGCATTTATGACTCATTCCATTTATACAAGAAGAATAAATAGGACCGTATCCTAGGAGAAAAAGAGAAATCCTGCAAGGCATCTTGCTTTAAAGTGTTGGATGATCTGTGCAGAGCATATACTGGGAACAGTCTAGAGTAAGGATCTTGAAGGGATTAGCTTCTCTGGTGTCTGAGATTGAGTTAGGAGTAGGAGGGTGTATGAAGTGGGTCTAGGGAAATGATAACAGGAAATTACATCTGTATTGTGCTTTATAGGTTCCAAAGCATTTTTACATACGTCTCATCAAATATTCACAATAACCCTAGGGTTAGATATTTTATACCCATTGTCCAGATCAAAGAGGTAAAATCCCTGGCCCCAGATCCTACAGATCCAGGAGTTCTGACTCCATATTCAGTGCTGTTTACCCCTTGAGACCTAACTAAGGTCCATTAACAATACCAAGAAATTCTCAGAGTGCCTCTGAATGTCCCAGAGCATAGAGAATAAGAAATAAAGAAAGGGAGGAAAGAGAGAGTTAAGGACCACTTGGCTGGCACCAAGGTTGCTTGAATTGCTGTTTTGAAAAAAGGCATCTTGCTATCAACAAGATATTTACAAACAGCTCTACCCTGTAACAGGGCTTGATTGTTTTTGTTGGGGGGATTTTTTTTTTTTTTTGAGGAGACCAGTTTTTAATTTCGATTTAGTTCAACAAAGAGGGTGTCACTCTTGGAGAAATGCTAATGGCCATAGCTGACCTGGAAGTGGGCAAAAGACAGGATAATTCAGCATGGTTTTAAGACTATCTTAAGCATGGAGGTGGTTTAATTCTCAAAATCCTGTGCTACACTAGACTGATTGAACCATTCAGTCTTTTGCTTTTCCACCTCATAATCTCAATCTTTTTAAGAGCTGCAGAACACACAGTGGACCCCAGACCAGCAGCATCAACATCACCTGGGAACATAGAAACCCAAAGTCTCCACCCCATCCAGACCTTCTGAATCTGAAACTCTAGGCTGGGGCCCAGCAATCTGCATTTTCACAAGCTTTCCAGATAATCTTGATGTATGCTCAAATTTGAGAACCATTGTTCTAAAAGGCTTTGGGACAGGGTCTAAGAATAATAGCATCATTTCTCTTTGCTCTTTTACCACCTGTGTGATTTTATAGCCAGTGCTAGCTCAGCCCTGTCCCTGATAGCCTAGGCTAACTTTGGACTCCTAGGAAATGGGCAATCTCTACCTCTCTTCGTATTGACATGTGAGGCCTTTCATTGCTGTTGAACTCTTCAGTAGGCATCTTGCCTCCTAAGTGAATTAGAATTGTCTGAGGCAGGCACCATGTTCATAATAAGCATAGCCCTGTGCTATGCATACCATGTGTTCAATTGTGTATCTGAATAATTTTATGTATTCATTCACATTTAATAATATTGTTTTTTAATCTTATATCAGTATCTTAATTTCCCAAACTTGCAGCCTTCTTCCTTGGACCACGTCTTTAGGCTTGGCCATGCATCATGTTGACCATTTCCTTCCTCTCTCTCAGTTTCCTCACAGATTCTAGCGTATGGATTCAGTGCCTGGAACCAGCACATGTAGTGGAGTGGAACATCATCTTATTTTCTATTCTCATAGCTCTCAGTGGTCTTCAGGTGATTGTCTGCCTCATCAGAGTAGTCATTCAGTTGTCCACGATACTGTGTGGAACCTATTCAGTCATCATCCAGGTAACAGAACCCCACTGGCACCTTTACCTCCTCCATTTTACCCCCACTGTCCAGGACTCAATGGATCTTGTTGGAAGGATTTTAGAATTCCATCATTTTCTTTCCATTCCTACTGCCCTCATGTTTACTCAGCCTCTAACACCTCAATTTTTTCTGATATTCCAATGTGTCTCTTGGCTTATCTAAATGGATTGAATCGATGGAATAACTATAAAATCACATTCCATGTTGTATGGTGAAAACACCACAGGTGTTTTAAATGAACAATGTTTCTATGTAGAAATAACTCAAAGCTCAAAGAAATCTTACCGTTTATTGAGAATGTCCCTGTTCGTAAAATAGTCGAAGGCTCACAACCTAATCCCAGTGATATAATTTCTCTTTTGAATGCTGCTACATTCAAATAGTCCTTCTTTATACTGAGTCACTAGTGAGTGGTTTTGAAGAAGAGAAATATGTCTTTATCCTATTGAAACTACTCCTGCTTCATCTGCTAAAATATTAACATTAATTTAATTATGGTGGAAACTGCTAAACCTATCCATCAAGTCCAGAGTAAAGAGAAATCATGAATGAGACATCTTGTACCTTGTTTAACAACATATAATGTATAATACCTTTCCTAGTAGTTTCAAATAGATATTTTCCTATTCTATCATGTTTGGCATATAAACTATAAGTTTAAGTTGCTACTTGGATTATGGATTATTAATCAAGTTTACTCACTTTGTTTCTCTTTCTTTCTTTTTTTTTATAGCCTGGAATCATTTGAATAAGAACAAGAATGATATGGTCATCTACCTGTGTCTATTGTTTGGACTTGAGGGCCATATTCAGATGATGGCTTTTTTCTCCAGTTGGTATTTATTGTCCTCATTGGAAGTGCCTTCCATTTAGAATTTTTTTCTAAGCTATATGTGTCAGGATCTTCAGAAATGTTCATACCCTTTGATCAAATAAATCCAATTTCTATAACCTATCCTATGAAAATAAATAAGAATACGAGATAAAGCTTTATGCAGCTACATATATTTGAAAAGTATTTAATATTCTGGAAAATTAGAAATACCCAGAAAGTCTAACTTTAGGGGAAGGATTAAATAAAACATGGTACATTGGTTGTAATATTATGTAAAATGATGATTTAAAGATTATGAGTAGTACTATGTGAAAAAGCAGATTACAAATTTATGTTTACAGTATAAGCGTAACTATCCAAAACGAACAAAACAAAACCAAATAACCAAAATACAGGATAAAAACTAAATCTAGATGGATTTACACAAAAATGTCAGCTCTGGTTGATTTGGGTCATAGGTGACCATTCCTACTTGTCTATATTTTCCAAGTTTTCTTTATTATGTTTTACTATTAAAATACTTTTTTAAAAAAAAACATATTTTTACTATTAAAAGGTTTGCTATTTTTCCAACCTTTAAAAGAATACACTTTTTCCAAATGTTTTCCAACATTGACTATCTGTAAACATCACAGAATGACACTTCAATCGATGTTCAGTGGGGAAAGCAGTGAGATAGATAAGCCACAAAATGTTGTACACAAATTTATATAATCTAATTGAGCTCTTGGCGTTATTTTTTTTTTTAATTTTTTTAAACATCTTTATTGGAGTATAATTGCTTTACAATGGTGTGTTAGTTTCTGCTTTATAACAAAGTGAATCAGTTATACATATACATATGTTCCCATATCTCTTCCCTCTTGCATCTCCCTCCTTCCCACCCTCCCTATCCCACCCCTCCAGGTGGTCACAAACCACCGAGCTGATCTCCCTGTGCTAATTGGCATTATTTTTTTTACTCCTGGTGGTGAGTATGATGAGCTACAAGAATTAGACTTGAAATGAATGAGCAGTTGAGGACATGCTCAGTGGGTTATAGAGAGTGACCACTGACCAGTTGATACCTGTTTCATGGGGAGTTACCACTAAATATTTACTAAAAAAAATTTTTTTAAGTAAAACATTTATGAACTCTCTACTTATACTTGGCATGACCTTCTGGAGGACAGCAGTCATGTTTTATATTTTTCCATCATCCGTAGGGCCTAGCCCAAAGCAGACGTAGGAGACACTCAATGTTGGACATTCATGCCAGGCTCTTCTGCTCCTCATGGCTGCTCTGCTGAGGAGCTGTCTCCATCATGGAGCCATTGGGCCTTAACACTTCCACCACTTCCCCATTGCCCTCCTCCATGGACACTGTCAACATTGCTCTACCAACGCCTGCCTGGCAGTGGTAGACAGTAGTCTGGAGAATGCCTCTCTCCTTGGTGCCTGCTCAACCTATAGCCTCCTTTAAGATAGCTGCCCTGTCCACAGCCTTTGCTGAAGTGAGCATCTTGAAAGCAAGCCATGTTGGATACCACATGACCCCCATGACCGGGACTTAGCTGACAGAACTGGGACCGGCACCCAAGCCATGGGCAGCCTATTGTCACTCTAGTGGCCAATGATTCAGCCTAAAGTGAACCACTGTCCAAATGAGATTGGTGGTTATTCTTGCTTGAAAATTTGAATTACGAAACCAAAAATGAAGCAACGCAGACATTGCTGCCAGGAAAACAAAGGATGAGGAAGACAGCCAGCCAGAGAGTATCTGATTACTCTAACAAGCCCACAAGCTTGTCATATCCAGCATCCTCTTTCTCCAAAAGGCTCCTCAATCCTCTTGTAAATGAACTTCTGGCAGGTCAACCACACCAGTTTGTCATTAAGACTGTCTCCATTGTGTTTAGATTCATTATGGTACCATACATTGAGTGGACCATGAACAGATGTCAGCTGAATGACTCCACCACAGAACTGGAAACAATGTCTAACAACAGGGGCACAGTCAAATTCAGTACAGTATATCTATCAGTAAATCAAATATTAACACAGCCACCCAAATTTTGTATTTAAAGAGTATATGCTGATGATGCAATTTTAAGTAAAAACTGTATATAAATCTTTGTGCGCAGTGTGAACCCAAATTTTAAAATAGGCATACAATTACATGTAGACGTGTATAAATGTTCAGATACGTAGAAAAATGACTGGAAGATACCTAAATGTTAATAATTATCACCAAATGATGAGACTATGAGTTATATTCCTTGTCTTTACATTGTTCTATATTTTCGAATTTTCCTTGCATTCCTTGAAGAATTAGAAAAGAAATGTCATTTAAAAAGCAAGTGTCCTCTAATCCTTTCTATAAAATCCATCTGAGGACCTTAAAATAGGAAAGAACTGGACATGAAGCTATGTGTGTGATAGCGCTTTTCCTTACCTTTTTTAGAAGGTACTCTTTCCATTTTTTAAGTCTTATATTGAATATTGCCGACTAATCCTAATTAAGAATGATTTCCATTTTGTTCATTTATGCTCTTATATTTATTATTTCTCTCTTATTTTCCTTACTTCTTTCTCATTGTACTTCTCCTGACTTCTTAAATTGAAAGCCTAGCTTATTAATTTTTAACCTTTCTTCTTTTCTTAAAATAAGCATTTACGACTATAGTGGTTCCCTTTCACCTGCTGGAGGTACGGTCCAAGGCTCCCACTGAATGCCTGAAACCACCAGTAGTACTGAACCCTATACAAACTATTTTTTTTCCTATACCTATAAACCTATGATAAAGTTTAATTTACAAATTAGGCACAGTAAGAGAATAACAACAATACTTAATAATAAAATAGAACAATTATAACAATATATTGCAATAAAAGTTTGTGAATATGATCTCTCGCTCAAAATATCTTATTGTTCTGTACACACCCTTCTTCTGCGGCTGCTTATGATAACATGAGATAATAAAATGACATGATGCAATGAGATGAATGATGAAGGGATTGTGATGTAGAGTTAGGCTACTATTGACCTTCTGACCCTATGTCAGAAGAAGGATCATCTGCTTCTGGTTCTCATGGATCATTGGGCCATGACGATATTGATGATGATTGGATGTCAGGAGTGGAAGATGTCAATGGCTGGGGATCCCAGGCAGGACAGAGCAGGGCAGCATAAGATTTCATCACACTGCTCAGAAGGTATGCAATTTAAAAGTTATTTAATTGAATCTTGAATTTTCCACTTAATATTTTCCATTTAATATTTTCAGACCTCTGTTGAAATCACAGAAGGTGAAACCACAGACAAGGTGGGGATTAGTCTATGCATTTTTCTTTAAGTACTGCTTTGGCTGCATCTCACAAGTTGTATGCAGCTACAACTGCATACAAGTTGTGTTGTGTACAACACAAATGTTGTATTTAACTTGTTATTCAGTTATGAATATTTTCTACTTTTCTTTATGATTTATTTTTCAAGCTATGAATGTGCTTTAAAATTCCCAAATATCTGAGTTTTTGTTATTTTTTTTTTAGACTTCCACTTTATATGTATTTTGATCACAGAATATGGTATATATGATTCTGATACTATGAACATTTTTAAGACTTGTTTCACAGCCAATATTGATAAGTGTTCTATGTACTTACAAATTATGTTTTCTTCAAATATTGGGTGTAGGATTCTACATGTGTCCATTACTTCAAGCTGTTAATTTTGTTGTTCATATGTTCAGTATCTTTTCTTTTTGGTTGTTTGCTTGATCTAGGGTTTCATGAGGATTAAATGATTATATTTATGTACACTAACTTATAATATCTCTCTATTATATATGTATGTTTACATAACATATAATATACATTTATATATAAATTTATATATTTTATATATATAAAGCAGTGTTTGGCATGGATAAGATTTATACGTGGCCTAAACATAGTGGTTTAAAGATGTACTCTGGAGTCAGATTGCTCAGATTCAAATCTGGGCTCTGACTGATTAGCTGGTTGACCCTGGTCAAGTTTACTTAACCTCTCTGTGCCTCAGTTTCTGAATCTGTAAAACAGGAATAATAATAGAGTTGCTGTGGAGATTAAGTGAGCTAGTACATATAAAGCTCTTAGAACCATGGTGACTTCAATCTGAATCCAAGTGCAGCTGGGGCAGATTTGAAATGGCTGGACTAGGAAATGCCACAAATACATCAGAAGGGAAAGAGGGGGGAAGAAAAGCACAGGGGCCCAGGGGAAGCACA